CGAATTCAATTTACTCTAGCTAAAATTCTTAAAATTCGCTTACTTCAGACTACGCTAATGACATTTCTTGTTGCCTGGTCTTTTAGTATCTGTCCTGCCTTTGGGCTCAGATTTCTTCAATGCGATCAGCCGGCTGGAAGGAGCATGTGTTGTCGAAAATAAGCGACGCATTTCCTGCTCTCAAAGAGTCTGGGCAGTCCTGTAAATTTTCTCAAGTAAGGATATCTTGCACGTGTTTTTCATCGTTATTTCCTCCTCTTTATCAACCTCTTGACACTGACCTACACCCATTAACCATTTCATGCACAGATTACTCCACCGGATTACGATCCAGAAATTGTTTACCCTCTGCCGCAAGTCGTTTTTCGGATGTTTGACTACACTGACGTGTACTCTGCTGAGGACGAAGACACGGAGCAGGACAACCAGGCGTCAGGCAAGAAAGCTGAAAATTCTGCGGCCACTTTGCCTGGAGCGCACACGGTTGAGCGGTTTCTCATTGATGAAAAACTGCACATCATCCTGGAGACCATGAATTTTAATAAGGTTTTGTGGTGAGTTGGCCCTTTTTGAAGCAAGCAAACCTACACTGCCTTGAATATTGTATCTTGGCGTCTTTAAGTCGTTTATATAAACCCAAGCACTCTTTAAATCTATTGCGTGTACGTGTTTCTCTCCTACTACAGAATTTTAGCTAATAAGACAAGTTATTTTCTCCACTGACCCTGCCTGTGCAGCCTTACATATAACATGAATTATCAAGGGTTTGGCTGTTATCACTCGTAGGACTTTTTGAACTTTTTACAGGAACTGTTATTGCCCCTTTCGAAGAAAGTTCGGCCAAAGCGCAATTCCTTGCCCCTTTTTGTCTAAAACTGACCGTCACTCGTGGGACAGGCATGAGTTCAGAGTAGTTTCGTAGAAGGATGTTTCCTAGTAGTATCACAGTACCGTAGAGACTTCATCCACGTCATTCAAGGCCTAATTTTAGAGTTTTAAACGACTACTGGACGGCAAATAAAATCACACGCGGAGGCCTAGCAACATTCGCCATCTTGTAATACCTTCAGATAAGTTCCTAAGGTAATACCGCTGTATTTTTTGTCCAACCCTTATCTATTGCAATTCTTGCTGAAGTTTGCCTTCCTCTGTCATCCTATGTAAACAGAGCTGACGATTTTCAAATTTGGTGACGGTTTTCCAATAGCCTCTCATCTGACG